CCCCCCCCTTCCCCAGCCACTTCCCGCCTTGTCCTGCCTCACCCCCATTCACCGTTTTACCTGAAGAAGAGCCCTGGCACACTCAAGCCCTCGTATGGTATCTGGGGAATGTGGAGTTAGACTAACAAGGCCATATGGCAATACAGGCTTGGCGTGTGTTCTCTGGGAACGTATCGTTTGGTTTCCCTTTTCAGCTCTATAGTATCATTTTTAGGTGTGGAAATAAGGGCTTACTTCATTAACACAAGGAACCTGGCCTCTCCCTGTCTAAGAGCCCAATCCTACACATATTTACTGTTTTACTATATTTTATTGTCGTTTTCGGTGTATAACATGTCATGGTTTGGGTCATATTTTATTGTGCTTTTATCTTGGGTTGTGAGCCACCAAGAGATGCTGTGGCACAACTGGGTGGCATACAAATGTAATAAATAAACAAGCAAACATTTAGCGGGGGAAATCCCACGACTCCCTGTGTAAGACTGCAATCCTACACGCTTGGACGGCAAGCCTGGAGATGCAGGACATTTTTCCTGTCTCAACACGTGCAGGATTGAACCAGAAAGAGTTTCCATCGCTTGCAAAACGGCCTTGTGAACAACGCAAGTGGGAGGCAGTAACCCAGGAGCATCGTTGTGAAGAGGTCTGGCTTTTTACCTTCCAGCAAGTCTCTTGCCAAACCTGGCTCTGCCCCAGTTGAGCGGACAAAATCTGAGAGGACGACATCCATATCCAGGGTTATGTGAACCTGAATTCCTTGCAGGCGGCTGAGAAGTGGTGGGACATCGACCCGGGTGGCCCCTTCAGTCTGGGGGAGGAAGCCAACAGAAGAGGCGACTCAGCGGGGCTGGCGGCGGTGGCGGCAGCCCCCAAAGGCACCTGGCAACTGGGGTGGGGGAAAGGGTTCCTCTTGGAACAGGATCAGACACTCACCGAGCGAGGCTGCAGGCCACGCCTCGTGCTTTACCGTCAGAAAAAGATTCCCAGAAAGCTAAAGATACATGGTCCTGAAAGAGAAAGGACATCTTCTTTGTGCACTTCCATCTTCCCCGGTCTGGTGCCCCAGAGGTGCTGGCATGGGAACCAGCCTGCTGGGGAAGATGGGAGTGCTGCCGAATGGGTCTGGGTGTGGCTCTCTCCGGACCTGCCTCTTCCACTGAGGGATGGCACAGGTGCCTGTCCCGCAGGGCGCTTTCTCACTGGCCCAGCTGCCGGGGGGCATTTCTGGGCACCTGCCGAGGCTTGGGGCGGGCCTGGCACCCCTCCACTCTAAATTCCCCCACCCTGCAGGTGGCATCCTCCAGTGGCCTTGCTCCCCACTCTGGGCCCAGGAGGCAGGGAGGACCCCTCAGGGGCCCCCAAAGCCTGCAGGCAGCCCAAGCCCGGGCACTGCTGCAGCGCCCCGGAACGCCTCTTGGCGGGAGCCAGACGGATCCGGGCCCGCCCCCCCCCCCACAGCCCCGCCATCCACCCGCATGCCACCCCTGCTCCAAGGCACAAGGCGCGCACAGCGGGGCCCCCGCGATGCTCCTCCCGGGGGGGCAGTGCGGCCCCCGGGACAGTCCTGTTGCTCCAGCCGGACCCACTGCTGGAGCCCCGGCCAGGCCAGGGGCGCGCCAGGGGCGCAAAGGGCTACCGCCCCCCCGCGCACAAAGCCCACCCCTCGTGGAGCCGGCAAGCCCACCCCTGCTCCCCCCAGCCTGGAGCAGCAAGACCGGTGGCGGCACACGGGGGCACAGCTGCCCCCACAGGCAAGCAGCCCACCCAGCAGGGCTTGGAGGGGAGGGGGGCAGGAGGGGCCACCCCGAGTCTGCTTCCATTTCCACACCCTGCAGACATCGCTCGCCTCTGGCCATGAGCGCAGGGTGACGAGCTCCCTAAAAATAGCCCTGCCGCCTCTTATCAGCAAGAGGCAACAAAGCCCGGCTTTCCCCAGTGAGTCAGCAGGGAGTTCGAGGTGCCCTTCCTGGCCCCGCATGCCCGGAGCACCAGGCGGAGGAGAGCCGGGCGGGCCACGGGCAGCTTGTCTGCACCGCACCGGGTGCCTCAGGTGGGAGGACGAGGAGGAGGAGAGAGGGGTGTGTGGTCCCGCCTCGCTCGCTCGCGCTCCCCTGCTCTTTGAGAAGCCTCTCCGCCGCTCGCTCGCTGGGGCGCTCGCATTCCGACAACAGAACCACAGCGCCACCCGTGAGGGCCGAGGGACCGTGAGCAGGGCGGGCTGCGCGGCCCACGACCTTTCCGGTGAGCTCAGCCAGCAGCCAGGAGAGCATTTCAGGCAAAGCGGAGGGCTGAGGCAGCAAGCTCAGCCGGATCTGGGAGCCGGGAGCCGGGCTGGAGGGCACCTTGGGGAAACCGCCCTCCCCTCCCGCGAGCGGCGATCCAGGGACCGCCAGGAGGAGGCAGGCCCAAGCAGAAGGGGCGCGGGCAGGGGCACGGGCAGCCTCTGTGCGGGAGGGCGAGCCCCCGGATGGCTTGCAGTGGCTCCAAAGATCGCGGCCAAGGAAGGGGGGCGCTACGAACCGGGCAGCGAATCGCGCTGCAGCGGTGGCCAGCGCTGGGGCACGCGATCCTCCACGGGCCGCGTGCCTGTGGCCTCATCTCGGGGCTGCGTCCCGTCCCCAGGGGGCGGCCGGCAGCCGGTGGGGTCGCGTGCTCTCCATCCCGTGGTGTGCAGGCGGGAGCCGGGCTTGGTGGTCCCGGCAGCCCCCCTGCCTGCTGCAGCTCCAAATCCGACTCTGCCGCTGACTGGGCTCGGCAGACCCCGGGCCACCAGCCCACAGGGAAGGCCAAGCGTACGGAGGCGGGGGCACCCCTGCTGCCCCTGCTCGTGCGGCTTGCACTGGACAGGGCTGCACGGGGCCTTCTCACAGAACTGAAGCGACACAGAATCCTAAGCAGGAGTCCCCAGGCCCCGTTGGACCTCGAGGCGCAATTCACGGCAGGTCAGCCTTGGGGGTGCACGGATGCAGCGGGCCCAACTGGCAGGGGCTTTGCCGAGCAGTGGCCAGCCTGTTGCCAAGAAGTCTACCTGGAAGGATTTGGATTTTTAACGAAACATCCCAAATGCGTTTACACAACGCCATGAAAATATCGAGCTCCGAGGCCTGAAAAAGAAAAAGGACTCTCAGGCCACTGGCGTGCGAGTCGCGCCTCCTGGCTCCAACGGGGAGTACTTTATGCAGGCCTGTTCGGGGAGTTCACACGTGCTGCCCTTCTGCACTGGGCCCGGCAGGAAGCGCTTGTGTGCAGGTGTGAAATTCAGTACCTGGCGGCTCTCTACATCCACCTTGGGAGAAATAAGCTCCTAGCAGTTACGGACGCAAAGCCAAGATGCCTTGGGTGGGAGTTCACCCGAGAAAGGTGTCATATGAAAAGAGCAAATGTAGAAAACTTCCAAGGACACATGTATTTCTCCCAAGGACACGAATGCTGTCCAGACCCTGCGACTCTCAGCAGAAACAGATGCAAACATGCTGTTCTTGGTGCCACACTCCAGAGTACAGAGTTCCCAAATATCCTTGAATTTCCGGACTGCCCATCATGCGAGCTGGGAATGAAGAGGAGGGACCTGTCCTGCCCTTTCTTCCTCCCAAGGCTGTCTATCGCCAGAAAACACATGAACATCAGACAGTGCCAAAACACAGATTTTAAAGAAACTTTCAGTGTTTTGCAACACCAGCAATAGCTGGGATTAGACAATCGAGACACCCCTTCAGAAGCTGCACAGCCTTCCTGAGATTAGGAAGCAGAAACATGAGTTATGTGTCCTCTGTGTATTGAAGACACGGAAGCCTCACCCTCTAGATAACTCCCCCCCACTGGGTTCATGTGGATGTTGAAGATGATGGGGGCAGAGAGCCCTTGGGCACCTCATGAGCCAAAGACCATGAGGGGGAGCAAACATCCCTCAGCCTCACCGACTCGGGTCTCTCCTGCCACACAGGCCTCTGCACTACCAAAACCCATTCCAGCACGAAGATCCTGAAAAAGATCATTGCCCAGAGCACTGAAAGCCACCGAGAGGTTCAGTGATGTTCCTCCGAGCAAGCCATCCAACAGGGAAATGAACGCCGTCTCTAGGCAGGCCAGAAACCAGACTGAGATGGAAGGAAGGGACGCAAGCTGAAAACCTCAATGCTCACCCCAATACTTTAAAATGTTTCTGCTCAGAAGAAAGAGCTAGCAAAGGCCTGGAAAAGGTTAAAGCAGCACCCATCTCTGCTATTTGAACATTCCTTCCCTAAAGCCACACCAATGCCCCTTGCCTGCTCCCGTGGTGTCCCCAAGCTGCAGACAGAGAATCTGGGTCGCCGCAGAGGCCGAGGGGCCCGTGCCCGGGAGCTGCCGCCGCCCGGCTGCCCCCAAGCCTCGCGTTGCTCTGCCTGTGCTGTGCACCAGCTCCAAGCTCTGGAATGCCCCCCTGCTCTGGCTCAGCCGCCGGGCAGCACACCGGGGCTGGTGAAAGGCCTCCACCAGCTGACGCTGCCTCCTCCCACTGGCTCATGCCAGGATGAGCAGAGGGGTCCCGGCGACGGTCATGCTGGTGAGGCAAGCCCAAGGTCCGACGCAAGCAGCGCTCGCACGGAAAGCACTTCCTCCTTGCTCGGCCCGCCCACCTGCCTCTTCAGGAGAGCAGCTCCCCCTGAATTTGCGAGAGCTCCGGCTGCTACGGGAGGATGCCCTGGCCGGGGACTGTGCCAGCCACGCACAGGCGCCCCTCTGGCGAGCCTGCTGCCGGCCTTGCCTGGGCTGCCGGGCGCCCAGACCGGGCAGCTGGGCTCAGCAACTGCTGTCACGCAGACCTGCGGCTCCACAGGCGTCCAGACGCTCCGCTGCCATGGCCCACACCGGGGGGCGGGTGTCCGTGACGCGCCCGGCCTGCCGGCCTCTGCCACCAGCCGTGCGTGCCCTCGCTGCGCAGAGCCTCCACCCTTCCGCCTCGGAGCCGGCTGCTGCCCCACCACGGTGCCCTTCGAAGGGGACAAGTGCCCCCTCCCTGATCAGGCAGGGCCTGCCAGCTGCTGGTCGAGGGCAAGTAACTTCGGAGGTCTCCCGCCACATCCCCCCCTCTCCAATCAGCTCTCAGTCCTCCGAGCGGAAAACAACAAGGCTCCCTCATTCACGCCAGCCCCACCCTCCTTCCTCATGTCCCCAGCTGCTCCAGGGACCCCTCCATGAAGCGCGCATACAAATGGCCCACAAAGCCAGGCGGGGGCCAGCAAATCCCCCCACCCCCAGCTTTACAACACACAGCCAAGCAGATCTGAGCGTGGGCAAAATGTCTCTTTCAAAAGGAAGCCCGAAATCTTCCAGAGCAGCCTCCCCTAGCGGGTGCCCTCCGCATGGGGGCTGTCAGGGGGATGGGAGGGGGAATGAGCAAAAGGCTTGGAAATTGCCTTGTGTACACACACACACACAGCCCCCAGTTCCTGTCTGAGCACAAGGAGTGCCACTCTGGAAGAGCTTTCCCCTTCACACTGCCCCTTTACGCCCAGCCCAGGGGCAACCCTCCCGTGGGTTCTTCGGCCTCTCATGCCAGCCCTCCCCAGGGCACGCCCCTGGCCTCCGACACCATCACAGCCAGCAGGACACCAGGATCCGCTCACACAACATGTTACAACAGGTAAACTTTGCGGGGGGGGGGGGGAAGAGAGGGAGTGAAACCAGGCAGCAAACCTTCTAGGCGTTGATTCAGTGCCAAGGCAAGGAGCAAGTCTCAACTTCAGGGGGAAATCCAAGAATGCCGCTTTGTTTCTGGGGAGCACAGACAGCAGACTGAGGAGGCAGCTGTCAGTAATATTTTCCTGCAGAGGCAGATGACTACTTATGAGACAACCACAGCATGACCATGGACTGGCAGGAGCCCTCCAGAGTTCAGGGCCACTCCACGGATGATGCAAGCCCTGAAGCATGGGGCGGAAAAACACCAAAAGCGAGCGTCTTCTGGGGACGGATGATGCCATCTCTTGAGCGCGTCCTTGTGTGCCACTGAGGGAGGCGGGGAGAC